AATAAACTTTTAAATAGCAGATACTGCTGTTAGTGCAATTAATGATGTACGACAGACGCAATTATGGATTTATAGAAATCAAGTTTGGAGGAAGCACATACTCTAACTGAAATCGAGTAAGACATATTGTTAATCGTGACACAGCCAAGGTCTATTGTAAGTAGTTATGTAGACCTTGGACACAGCCTTGCCAGCTCTCTGCTTATACACGTGCAAAACAAAGTTTCTTGTCAATTTCATCCATTATTGTTATTGCTGACTTTCTCCTAACATGATATTTGGGGTGGTATTCCATAATTGTTGTCTGGCTCTCATATTGTGCACCAGATCAGGCCGCAAATATTTTCTGAAGCTCCAAGTCTTCCTTGTTAGGAAGTGGGCGTTTGTTTGTATTCGTTGATCAAATAAACGTTAGTCTGGATATCTTGTAAGATTTAAGTGAGGTACCATTGTTAGCTGTGACATATATTTTTATATTTCTATTTTATCATTATACCTAATACGATAGAATATCTACCCTATGTACGACCAAGTAATCAGCTTCATAGTAATTATGCTAGGTTTTGTTTTGGCATCCACTTTCCCAGCACAGCGGTTCTCGCTCATTCCCGCTCTAGGAGGGGATTTACATCGCGACTTTCTTCACAGCCGGGGAAGTGTCCCGCCTTGTTATGGGATCCCAAGACAGTCAAGACGTGAACAGTTGTGAAATTCCAGTCATAAATATCATAACAAAAAATTAACACAAAAGAAATGGGTGGAATCTTAAAGAAACTGCTTTGCAAAGTCTATAATAATAAGGATGACATGGATATGTCACGATCGACGATTCATCATATTTTACTCAATTTCAGTTAGAGTATTTGCTTCATCTGAACTTTCGTTTTCATCCGGAAAGGTTTTGGTTGGATTTTCGACTTCTATTGTAGTGCATAAGGGTATCTGGCATGTTTATCCGATGTATGATGATTAATAGAGGAGTGGCATTTTCTGTTTAGTGTCTTCTATTTCAATCAACATGCGATGATGCTAATAGAATCCATGACTTTTCGATGGGTAGTTCATTCGGGAGGTTACTGTAGACACCATGGACTTTTCCTGAGACGATGTTCTCTACGGGGGTCACTGGAGAGTGTGACTTGCGGTGCGCTTATCCACACCCGCGTGTGACGTGATGGCTGCAGCGGCCTTCTTCATCTCTGCTTTCAGTCAAGGCATGTAGTCCCTCTTTCTCGTGGTCTGGGAAGGAAGCGTCTGAAGAGGATGAACGATTTAAAGGAGCCTGGGTGAGCGTGTCGGGGCTTTTTAGTATGTGATCGTTAAAGAGGTGCGTAGAGTGACACGGGTACCCATCCTCAGCGTAAAAGGAAAACGTGTGAACTTGGTTGCGGTGGAATATCCCCGTTCCTCGCCAACACCAACTTGGCTTTGGTTCTTCTTTTGCTCTCCACCCTCTTTTTCTTGCCTTGCTTCATCTCTGCAAAAGCTGCACAACGGAGGCTGTTGCCATTTTGTCTTCCAACACGGACAACTCGGTGGCTGCCCTCGGCCGTACACCCCCCCATCCATGGAAGGCCCAAGACCTACTGAACTGTCAAAGAAACCCGAAGGCTGTCATCATGTGAACACGAGGGTGAAGTTGATGTCATATAAACAGGTGAAACAAACAAGCTGGGACGAGACATCAAAAGCAAAATAATATTGTGAGGATTCGAAGCAGATTCCATACGAAAAATACGGTCAACAGGACAAGGCGCAGATGGAAAAATAAATAAATAAAATAAAAAATGATAGCGACCAAGACTCCACATGAAATTATGTCCCAGAGGGTGACAGCATGTGAGGGACCAACTGAAACAAAAAGAAATCAAGAGAGCTCAACGACAAGCAGTCCCAATCAATCACAACACAGACCAGGACATTAACAGGTGACAGGTATAAATAATTTAAGGTGATAAATATATTTTTTTTTTAATGCTGGGACAGTGAAAAGTCCTGAAACGTGTATCTTTCCAACTATGAGAAAGAACTTCGTGATAAACAGCGTGGGCTCAGCCTCCCATCGAAAAGGACTGGACGCTCAATGGAGACTGTGGACTAGGTTTCGGAATAGCGTCCTGGAGTCATGTTCACTTGGTGGCTCATCCCGGTAAGCCCACTCGAAGTGAATTAGCGTTCCAACCTGATGAAACATAATGCAAAGAAACTTAGAAATGGAAGGCAGTAACACGGGAGTGATATTCCGACACAGATAGGGTTAAGGAAGAAAAACATATGAACATATTGATTTTTAATCAGAATCAATTTAAATTGAAAGCTTATCAAATAAAGTTGTAGAAATATCATTAGATTATTTCTCAGTGTAATTGAATAATCAATTGTTTTCCTAGACCGATTGCTCAGCAGATGTGTGTAGGCAGCGGCGGGTCCTGTTGGTTTCCGTCAGATCGGTCTCTTGACTGTCCAGTGCGTTTACTTGCTTGATGTTGAATTCATTTATTTACTTACAAATGCAAGTTAATTTGTGTTTATATATATATATATATATATATATATATATATATATATATATATATATATATATATATATATATATATATATATATATTATAATCGTTATTCTCTTAGTGTAAAATATGAGTCAATTGTTCTGTTTATTTTTATGAATTATTTGCTTCTCTTGTGAATATTATTCCTTTTGTGTAAAATCTACTGCGTTTATTAACTTTGGGATACTTAACAATTATTTTTTTTTTTAATGACCGCTATTTGGTTTTTATAAAATTTGATTCATTAAGATATAACGTAGTTTTTAATCTTGTTAATTTTGTTTTCGTGAAATTTCATGACTGATGCTAATATAACAGCGAGTCATAACTGTCAAAAACCTAGATAATGTTTTTTTTCTGTTTTTGGATCACATAATCCTTGATATTGTAATTTTATTATAGTGTACTGATAATTTTTAGTTAATGAATATATTTTTGGAAAAAAAAATTAAGTCAATCCTCGAATTGGACATTAACACATTGAAATCCGCTGATTAATCATTTAAAATTACACTATGATCACTGAGAACAATTAAGCATTAATCTAACATAATGTCTTGATACTGAAGAGCATTTAAAAACAGCTGTGGATTAAGGGGCCACAACGGGACGGCGCTGAAGTCTTCGTGACTAGAAACCCACAGATCACATCGCCACACCGTTGTTGCTTGAGCCAGTTAGCC